CGGTCTAATTTTAGGTAATATATCGGCACTTTCCTAAAGAGAAAAGCTAAGCACGATAACCTTAATTAGGATAGCTGACAACCGAGAGATCAGAAACAGGGATCTTTCGAATACAAAGCAGGATGAGTAAATGCTCGGCTGTGGGTTTCGATCACGAAACTTCGGTTCCTGTAAAATGCGGTACTGGGCCGTGGTATTGGGCTCTTGCAACATTATCAATCACTAATTATTCTCAAGTTCATAATTTCAGAGGTCATGTACTGTTGAATGGGGAAGGCATATATGCAACCAAAATGTTGAAATATTGGGAATATTGTTCTGCTCTAGAATTCACTGGAATATTTGATTAAAATTATGAAAATCCTCAAACGGGATAGGTGATAACCGAGCAGAGATCGGAAAATGTTATTTCACAGACATGAGATCCACAAACCTGCTCAGAATGGCAAGTGTGAGTGAATTCGGAAACAGCTGTAGTGACTTAAAGAGGGCATTAAAAGTGTAAGAGGAAAACAAGCGAAAATAAATGGTTATAAGCTTCCTCAGAATTCGAACCACGTACTTTCGACTGCAATTTTGATGTAATGGGCTGAGCCACTTGGTCGTCACAGATGTGTGTCGCTTTTGATTTTGTACGAACATGTAAATTACCACAGGAGGCACTCAAAACTCCGTCCAATACGACCGCTTAAAAGAAGTGACTTAGCCGAGGGTGTCGTGTATTCTCGTTTAAGTTATCGACGTTTTAAAGCTGCCTCCATCATTAGGGCAACTAGCCCCGATGATAAGTCAGAAGGCAGACGTCTTCATGTTTAATACGTCAATTTATTCTATTCTGAGTTAACGATGACTGTTCAACGGCAAAATTATGAACAAGACGTCGAAGATCAAATGATTATTAAGAGAAAAACCGTGCAAAATTTTATACCGCTACCATACCACCCAAATGCAACTGGGAAAAATTCAAAACGTAAACATTAGCAAGAAAAACCCGTCTCCGGACCGAGATTTGAATTTCAGACTTTCCAGGTACAAAGCAAAAGTGAATTAGTCTGCTACAAAAGAATATGTTTTAAGATGATTTGGTTAATGGCATGGTAAGAACGAGAAGATATATATAAGTCAGGATCATCTTTCAGCCATTATTTCTTGGAGATACTATGTTAATTAAAATAACCACATCCAAAATGGAGGCAACAACTATCCAAATTTGTTACTTGTTGTATCTACTGCTCATTACTGTGGGTTTCTGACAAATTATTCTTCTATACAAAGGAACTTGTGCCGGTTTTCCACGGAAATATTTTGCCCAATGCTTCTTCTCTGCCTCTCTCTTTCTGTCGTACCCCCATTCCAGCTGCTTCTACGCAATAAACTTGGATTATGGTATGATACATTACCAACTTCCACAATGGGCTACGTCAACTGGAAAGAATGCACAGGCCTCTATGTGCATTATATTTATGATGTGGTGGTTTCTGTATGATTTTATAATACGGTCTCCTGCATGCGTCCGTCCTATAAACACTACTGCGACATGTATATTATGTCATTTTCAACAATAAATACATTCTTTGGAAATAAAATGCTGACCCCAAGTACATTGGTTCCATTTCTTTTCGAAAGGAAAAAAACTTGGGAGCGGAAGTGAATCTTGCCTTCAGAGTAAGTTGGGACTAGAACAAATACCATAAGCAACAGTTGACATACCATACCCTGAAGTGATACATGTTATTTGATCGCCCATCCGTCTACCCATTCCTTGCTTTAAATAGGTTCAATTCCCTGCCCACTCATACAAAATTGGCTGTTAAAGTTTCACTATTGTCATTAGAAAATCTAAGATTTTTGCGGCCTCGAATTCGATTACACGCTAACTCTGACAAAGTAAGATTATTTAATATAACCAGATTTCAGTAAAGTTTCTTACACAGATGCAGTAGTAACACTTATAAAAATAACTGTGATAAGAAACGACGAAACAATTTATTGAGAAAATTACACACCTAACTCCATGGGGCAGGAACCTCCAGTGGCATAATATTCATACCAACTATCATCTTTTGGCTAATAATTTAAGGAAAGGAACACACACAAGCATACAAAGATACGATGCTGATGAGATAAATAATTTTCGCTTATAAATTAAAGAAGGCGCGTTTGTTAAAACGAATTGCATCCACAAGACATGCTATCCACGCTTTGAAGTAAGAGCCCAAATCAATTCAAATAGCGTTACAAAAACCAGTAACCACACATTGGCAATTTAAACAAAGTGTAGTAGTCCAAGGGTCGTCCTGATCAATACCTCATGCCTGATTATACAGACTTGTTCAAAGCATTAATTGACTCCGTGATATGTTCACTAGTGCGGTAAGCGCACTATCAGTAGACAGAGCTTCGAATCTAATCTCTTGTATATTTTAGGACTTCACCGTCAGGACTGACAGATATAGGCCTACGTCATAAATGTGTGTTAATATCGTGGTTTTGGCTTCAAAAGTCAATCGACTTCAATTTCTGTCAATAATCAAAACACTAGATCAAACGACATTGGATATTGCATTGGTTTCTGTACATAATTGTGTAATCCACGGATACGAACGTAATTATAACGAGAATCTGCCTGCCTGTGCAAAATCATAAGCTGAAAACCATACAGATTCATGCTTGGATAACATATAAAATGTGTTAGCAGGATAATGTCTAATCCTTCACATAGTTCGCACGTCATTTTAGGTTTTCAGTTTTGTTAACGACGCTGATATAGGCGTCATTATGACATTTTATTTCAGAAGGGCATTTAGCACGCATGGTGGAAGTAAGAAATGTATACACAATTTTAGTTGGAACACCTGAAGAGATAAGAACAATTTAGTGAGTTCAATTTAAAACTTAAATCTGCAAAGGCATTTTTAAGCTCTGGTGACATAAATATAAGAAGTTATTCTTCACTGCAAATGAAACCCGATAACAAAGTAGTGAATTTATAATTATGTAAACATTGATAAATTTTATAAGATTACAAAGTATTATATTACTATATGAAGTAAAACTCTGAACAGTTTTAACTGATCCTAGTAAAACACACACACACACACACACACACACACACACAAAGTAACGCGATGTGCAATGTTCTTGTAATGAGCAGAAATTGAAAGTTGTTAAAGTGAAATTCTGACTGTGACAGTCACTCTGTATGTTGCAGACTCATACAATCACAAACTAAAGGCTGTGAATGTATTGAGTAGCGTCTGCACAACTGTACAAGGATCAGGAAAGCCAGGCAACAAGACTGGGTGTTATGAAGCTCTAGACGCTGTACAGGTAACAGTCATCAGAACGTGTAATTTTAATTATTCAAAGGCGGGAAAATAATTATTGTATGATGAAGAGGATACCGCTGTTGTTATTGATGCGATGGGGTGAGACTATGTCCCTGTGGTAGTGGGTCTGTAACGGGCCCTTTGTTTAGTCTGAAGATGATATATAATAGAATATGAAGCAACGGTGGAGTGACACTTTCAGGGAAAAACCAAAGGTGTCAGAGCACAACGTGTCTCAGTGCCACTTTGTTCGCCACAAATATCATTTGGACTGACCTAGGTGCAAACCCAGGCCTGCGTGAAAAAGCGCAACTAACCGCCTGAGCAGCGGCATTCCCATGATAATACCACTGGAAGCATCATCATTTGTGTTCCCAATTCCCTCATATGGAAGATTTTATTGTCATAATCAAATGTTTTCATTGTAACTTTTGGGCATAATATTGATAGGGGAGCCCCCACCAATATGTATAGAAGCTTCTCCTCTTGTGTCTGTCGATTTCAGCTGAATGAACCAGGAGGTCTTTGCGTCAGTCATATCAGTCAGCAACTGTACGATGTTATTTCAAACATGCATGAAACCCACAAGTCATTTTCATACTAAATACATTAAAAAACAATAAAATTATTTTTATAATTAGTCTAACACAAGTACTTGAAAAATTTCACATTGGTGGTTCAAGAGCTACAGACATATTTAACTACACCTGAAATAGGAAGGGATGGTTGAGGAAAAAACCGTCTTCCTCTGCACCAGGTACCTCCATAGAATCAGACATTTAATGAATCACACATTAAGCACAGTACACTTCTTGCATCCATCTTGGACTTCGTACCCTTGGTTTCTACCTACCATGTTCTTTTCACAAGTATGACCAATGCAAATTGAACAGGGGAAAAGAAAAATATCTTTACTTCAAATTAACACGCATTTATTTCTCAATAATCACAAAAAATTGAAAAGTAAATTGTAAACTCAATTTGTCAAATGGCACTTATGCAACAAAAAGATTCATGTTCACAAAACCTTGCCACCTGCATTCAGTTCGCTAGATTGATTCCTATCTTCCTAAGGTCTTCCAGCAGTCTCTTCCCTTCAGGGTTCCCAACCAATACCTTATATTTGCTACCCAACAATTCCACCAACTTGCAAGGCATTAACACAACTTCAGCTAAAAGAAAACTTTTGGTACAAGTACACAAGATATTTAGATGACAGTAGAGAAAACGATGGAAGGTAAAAGAAATTGCACAAAAAAATTTCTTTCAAAATGAACTCATTTTAATACAGCGTGTCAACAAAGTCCCTTCGGGGTTTTAAAAAATTGTGGCTCGCAAACAAATTGAGCTAGCCACATGCGGTTTGCGGCAGATTACAGTGAAACTCCGGAAGTGTTTTACTGACCTCAGTGGACCTCAATGTGGGCTCCCTTGGTAGCACGTAGCTCTTGCTATGTTCTGTGGACCATGTCCGCTGGAATAGTCGAGATCACATTCCTGATGCGGGTCTTCAGGTCATCAAGTCCATTAACTCGGCTATTCCAGCTGACATGCTCCACAGAACATGGCAAGAGCTCGAATATCGTCTGGGCGTTCTCTATGCTACCAAGGGAGCCCACATTGAGGTCCACTGAGGTCAGTAAAACACTTCCGGAGTTTCACTGTAATCTGCCGCAAACAGCATGTGGCTAGCTCAATTTGTTTGAACACCACAATTTTTCAAAACCCCGAAGGGACTTTGTGGACATACTGTATATCGGTAAAAACTGATCGTGAGGTTCCAACAAGTATGTGATAAACAGAAAAATTTTACAATACTGCCAACCTAAATTGAAACTGGAATAGACATTTAGTACTCCTCTTCACCCTCTCCTTCTCCTTCTTCTTCAACAGTATCCATGCCGACCTCCTCGTAATCCCTCTCCAGGGCTGCAAGATCCTCGCGAGCTTCTGTGAACTCGATTTCTTCCATACCCTCACCCACGTACCAGTGAACAAAGGCACGCTTAGCGTACATGAGGTCAAACTTGTGGTCCAGGCGAGCCCAGGCTTCAGCAATGGCGGTCGTGTTGGACAACATGCACACGGCACGCTGTACCTTTGCCAGGTCCCCTCCAGGAACCACAGTTGGTGGTTGGTAGTTGATGCCAACCTTGAAGCCAGTTGGACACCAGTCCACGAACATGACCGTGCGCTTGGTCTTGATGGTTGCGATGGCAGCGTTGACGTCCTTGGGCACGACGTCCCCTCTGTACAGCATGCAGCAGGCCATGTACTTTCCATTTCTTGGGTCACATTTCACCATCTGGTTGGCAGGCTCAAAACAAGCATTTGTGATATCAGCTACGGTATGCTGCTCATGGTATGCCTTCTCAGCTGAGATGACAGGGGCATAGGTAACCAGAGGGAAGTGGATGCGGGGGTAGGGCACCAAGTTAGTCTGGAATTCGGTCAGGTCAACGTTCAGAGCGCCATGAAACCGGAGAGAAGCGGTAATCGAGGATACAACCTGGCCAATCAGCCTGTTCAGGTTGGTGTAGGTGGGGCGTTCAATGTCCAGGTTACGTTGGCAGATGTCAAAAATGGCTTCATTGTCAACCATGAAAGCACAGTCAGAATGTTCGAGCGTGGTGTGGGTGGTGAGAATGGAATTGTAGGGCTCGACAACAGCTGTTGAAGTCTGAGGGGCGGGGTAGATCGACAATTGCAGCTTGCTCTTCTTTCCGTAGTCAATCGACAGCTTTTCCATAAGCAGGGACGTGAAGCCGGAGCCAGTGCCACCACCAAAGGAATGGAAGACCAAAAAACCCTCAAGACCCGTGCACTGGTCAGCCAGCTTTCGGATGCGGTCCATAACGAGGTCCACGATCTCCTTGCCGATGGTGTAGTGACCTCGGGCATAGTTGTTAGCGGCATCTTCCTTTCCAGTAATCAGCTGCTCAGGGTGGAATAGCTGTTTGTACGTGCCAGTGCGAACTTCATCTGTGGACACACCAGTCAAAGCCCAATTTCAACATATCAACATTACACTTTGCTACATTTCAACATGTATTTCCCAATACTATTAAACAGGATGCTCCTTTGCTTCACTTATAAGATTTCAAATGTACATACCTACTACTGTGGGCTCCAGGTCCACAAAAACTGCCCTTGGTACATGCTTTCCTGCCCCAGTTTCACAGAAGAATGTGTTGAAGCTGTCATCACCATCTCCAAGAATCTTGTCAGATAGCATCTGACCATCAGGCTGAATGCCATGTTCAAGGCAATACAATTCCCAGCATGCATTACCAATCTGCACGCCAGCTTGGCCAACATGAATAGAGATACACTCACGCTGAAACACAACACTACTTCAGACTACCCTGTCGTATGACAATACATTGGAAAATCCTAACCTTTCATACGCTATTAAGTGAAACATGAAATTACAGTAGCTTATGAATTTCAAAAATGTTTTAGAGCCACAGTTCAAAACCCACACATATGGAAACAATGATTCTTCACAGACAATTTTTAGTCAATATGAAATAAGTATCATCCATTTTGAAGACTGCCATATCAATTCATATAAAAATATATACAAAAGATGCATCACTGGTACCACAAAACCCTTCTTGGCAACATTGGCATCTCATTTCATACAGAACCTCACTGATCGTTCCAAGGAACACGGCTGTTCGCCCACCAAGTTTATAAAAAAATTAATTCCAGACTCAACTTTCTCTTACAAGGAAATTCCATCATTTATTCAAGCCTTATCAAAACTTAAAATTTTGAATACTCAGTGGCAATAGTTCCTGCATTACCGACATACAGCAACTGCCACGTGGAAGCAAAATTAATTAAATTTAGGTAATATGATAAACGTATCACACAAAATTAAAAATTCATATTACTTTCGCATTAATTCGATGCCTGAATTTACATTTTATTAATCACAAGTAATAACGTATTTTTCAGAGGTAGCACATTCCATTCGTGAAAAACATTGTAATCAAAGAACAAAACGAAAATTAATTCCTTAAAATATCAGAAATGATCAAAATATAGTACTCACCATTGTAGTAGGTAATTTGATGACTTATAACAACAAATTCACAGTCGAACCACGGTTCCGGAGAAGGTAAAATCTGAAAACAGATATGGAAATCTCAAGAGGTAATACGTATTTCGTAAGTAATATGTCCGGTTCATCTCTTACGGTTTTCGAGAGGCGGACGCTTAACGCGCCAGATGCATTGAAAATTGTAGACATTGGTTTATTAAAATTACAATAAATGTATAAACAATTATAATTACAATAAAATACATTATAGATTCTTAAAGGGCCTTATTTACTGATCATTTTACATGTAGGTTACATTACCCTTACTCTTACCATTCCTGAGGAATGAACGTTTAAAGGTGACTTGGCGCTAGATCTTACACGTTTTCCTAACGCTGCTTTTGCCGAATAACCCTTCCGTATAGATGTATTTACGTCAATATTTACGTCAAAAGAAGAAAAGCTTAATTCTCTTACACGAGTTCACAAATGCAGATGAAAACATTAAATGTAATTAACATTAATAATAAATAGGAATCCCTTACCTCAAACTTTGTTCAATTGTAAGAGACCACGATGTCCACCCACAATGATCAATTTAATCAAAACTAAATTGGAGAGAGTGGAGGGCAGTATCACAGATTTCTTAATAATTCATATGTAATATAAGTACCTGTGTTATTCTGAAACGTTTTTAACAGCACAATATTGTCAACTCTACGACGCACTTCTTCTACAAGCGATTCTCAGCTCTGCTCCTTCCGCAATAACGAAATCGGATTGTTGACGGCAGTAATGAAACACAACAATGCCGAATAAACAATGACATAATAACTGGTTTCTTACGTAAAGGAGTGGATTGCAATACGGTTTATTCAGGTAATTATACTGCATGCATAAGAAAGAGAAAAGAGCCTTACGGCATGCTCAGCCAATATTGTTGCAAGCGTGTATTAGAAATTCGAATCCTTTTACTTGCATTGTTATGCACGCAGGGGTTCATATAAAAGCTGATCATTGTCGGTCCATATGTTGGTATGGATCGTACACATCTTCGTAACTAACGGTGTTTTTGCCGAATGACCCTTCCATATAGACGTATTGACGTCAAAAATTCTAACAGATATTTCTTATATCTTAAAGATTATGACTAAGTACAGAGTTGTACAAAGTGTTATAAATATGACGCATTACAAAATATGAAAGGCAAGGAACGTAAGACAGTACCACCTGGTACATTTTAATTTTAATCAGACATTGAACGTATCACGTCATTAATAATTTCAATATGCAAGGAGAGAAGAATGCTATATTCGCCGAAATTAGCTTCAAGCACAGAGTAAAATACAGTTTAAAATACTAATTTGTTAACACAATTCGCAAAAGTATTAACCGTTTAATTTGAATTGAGGAGACGAAACGGTGAAACAGGATGTATTCATTTGCTGCACACATATTTTGAAAAGTGCATGATGTACCAGCTGAGCGGAGTTCTTAATATCCTGATAAAAGAGCACCCATGAACTGAAGATGGTAATCGTCCTGCTTCACCACTATGCTCCATTTTCAATCTAACTAATGGGAGTCTGCCCCGAAATAGGGTTCGTTTTATTCTCCCTAATTACTCTGCAAGTTCCTATCTCAATGCAATTCCTGAGCAAGTCGGTAAGTTACACAGTCCGTTAAGTAATTTCTTCTTTTGCGGGAACGGAAGGTTCATGAAGGTGTCATTAAATCCTATCACGGGAAAATATCATAATTTTTTTTTAAGTACCGGGTTAATATTATCCTCACATCATCGCCTGACGGTGCTATAAATATTTTACATGCCAGTAACAATAGCTAACTAATAAATTAATACCACGAACTGATAAACTAATACTGCGCTTGGCCAGTCCAGAAATTCACTGTGTTTTATGGAACAGTTCCCACGGGTCTCTTTCCTGGGTCAGATTAATCCAATGCACACCCTCCAACCCTGTTTCCTTAAGATTCACCTTTTTGTTTTCTTCCTACCTACCTATAGGTTTTACGAGTGATATTTTCTCTTCAGCTTTCCGACCAAACTTCTGTGCGCATTTCTTATCTTCTCCATGCAAACTACATCTTCCTAGATTTGATTATTTCAATAATATTTGATAAAAAGTACAATTGTGCAAGTTCTCATTATACAGTATTCTCCAGTCTTATGACAGTTCCTCCATCGTGCCCAAATATTTCCCTAAGCAATCTGTTCTCAAGTACAGGTAAACCTCGATTTACGCCGGGGATGCGTTTCTGGACGAACCGGCGTAAATGGAATCGGCGTAAATTTAAACTCTTTTTATAATTTAAATTAATGGGAAGTCAATAACATGCGTTCCCGGCACCCAAACGTTGACAACTTAAGTTCCTCAAAAATTGACTTCGCCTTATCCGTGATAGCAATTTCAGTCAAGGGAATGTTTTTTTTTCAATTCTTGTCATCCACCCATAGCAACAGTAATTTCTCCATTCTTTCTAAAAGTTTACTTCTGCTATAACTCACTTGCGTTGCACTTACTCTCGTAGCCTGCTGCATTGACTGTTTTATTTTACATGAATTTTTCATTATGGTAGCCACAATGGAAGGAGGTAACTTCATACTTCTGCACACATTGCGACGGGTATCACCACCTTCTATTCTATGAATTACGTCCATCTTATAATCTAACGCAATAGACCTACGCAACTTTTTAGCAACACATTCACTTCTCTTACCAGGCATGGTGGCTCTTCTACAATTTATAAATATAAAACAGTTGCTACTGCAGAATAGTGGTCGAACAACAACACACTCACGTTCAGCACACAGATTTCAGCATATGTGTCAACAAGAAGCGAACTGAGCCCACTTTTCCTTATTCCCTTATCAGGATGAACGCAAATGACTCACCGTGAAGAGTGACCAATGCTCACGTGACTGTGGCGCAATGTTGGCGGATTTTTAGGAGATTATCTCGTAACTGTATTTGTAATTTTTATTCAAAATCAGCGATGTAAGAATTACGATTTAGTATAAGAATCAGCACGAGAAACATTGTAAAACGTTATAAATAATAGTAAAATATATTTTTTTCACTTTTTGGCTTGCTGGTTTCAAATTCTAAATCGGCGTAAATTGAACCGGCCCAAATCGAGGTTTACCTGTACCTCAGATCTATATTCTTCTCTTAACGTGAGAAACATGGATTAATCCATACAAAATAACAAGTAAAATTACAATTGTTTATATTTTAACCTCTACATTTTTGCACAATACACAGGAAGACAAAAGATTCTAAACTGCAAGGTACCAAGGATTCCCCAATATTAGCCTACTCTTAATTGCCTTACGAATGCAAATCAGACTTCTTAACATGTTTCCCCCAAAAAATTAATGTTTTAACATTTTCAGGGAGTAACCTTGTAAACATGTGACAGAGCGTTTGAAATTACGTCCCACTTTACAAGGTTAATTTTGCTCCAAGAGAAAATATAATATGTCGCCAGCGAAAAACAGACATTCTACATGTTTTACTTTATTTCATGACAAGAGACGACAAGCCACTGAAACTATAGCCAATAAAATTAATATGACGAGAGATTAATAACTTGTTTTCAGATGTGTAAAATCAGTACTTTATTTTAAAAAATATTACTAGGGCAACTTCGCGGAACGTCACATTATATAGCATTAGGTTACTTTATTTATTTGAAGTATTTTCTTAATTATATACATTTAAAGAAAGACACATAGAAAACTGGGCACTCTGTTTAAAGATTCAGCAAGGAACTTGAGGTGGAAATTATATTAGCAGCTGTAATTATTTCGTGAGTGCTGTTTCTGATATCCCTCATTTAGTGATACTGAAGAAGTATATTAAAAATTGACGTTTCCACTAAAGGAACTCTAATAGAAATTTACATCTCCTGTGCTACAGAAATTGATCACTGTTGTGCACTTATGCGCTTACCACCAACTAATCATTATTTTAATTCCATTTATTTAACCAAATGAAATTACAGTTGCCGCAACAAAGATATTTATGTAAGTTCAAAGAGTGAAACAGACCTTGAGATATGATTTAATTAAATATATCAATAACTTACTTTCACGCAGTAGGTTAAAGGAATTAAATAACTGTAGAGACTATCATTAGTACGAAATGAGGGAGTGTTACAAAGAATTCGCTGAGGCTTAAAAACTTCAAAGACGTGAATCTCATTTCTAAGTCATAGACTTGCCTGATACCAAGAAGTAGAGTATTGGATACAATGCAGAAGGTATGTACGATCAAAGAAAAAATTATTCTATGGATAGCAGAAAACCGGACGTCTTTATCATTCCTTAACCAGTTTCCTTTTAGAATTACGGTTTTACCAAAACCGGTAATTGGATACTGGATGTTAAAAAAGAAAATGAGGAATATAACAAGAAAAGATGGTTCCATTACTCAGAGCTTTTCATTAATAGTGACAGCTACTTCCCAGAGACTCAGAGATATGGAAACGTAATTTCCGTATCTCAGTTGTATGCCCGTGTTTTAACAGTCATTAAATTACAGGCTACGCACAGCAGTTTCGCAATTGTTATTTAGCCGCCCTAAATAATTAATTTTCTCCGTGGAACACAGTCCTTCAAAAGTCTAATTGTCGCACAGTTGATCAAAAACGTATCATCCATTAAAGAACCGAGAGGTTCATTGCCATTTTCATAAGATCTTGCCACTGGGCCATATCCAAAACCAATTGCATCCGGTCCACACTAGAACGCCCCATTTCTTTAAAATCAATTTCCTTTCAACTTCATCCAAGTCTTCCAAGTAGACTCTTCCCGTCAGACCTATACCTAAACTTCAGTTTCGCTTTCCACCTTTCCTGTTCATATTTTATTCCGATTGTCCGAATCATCTTACCCCCCTTCGAGTTGATCATTCTAATAGTATTTGGTGAAGGTTACAAATTATGAAGCTCGTCATTATGTAATTTTCTCCAGCCTCCAGTTGCATCGTCATTTGTAGCTCCACATATCCTCTTCAATACTGTTATCAATGCTTATTCTGCCCCCAGCATAAAAGATCAATTTGCACACCAACATAAAACTAGAAATTCGGTTTACTCTGAGACCACCCAACTTCCTGGTTACAGATAAAACCTTTAATTTATGCCAAAGGACATGATAATGACCATCCTACTTTGCCAAGGCTATAGCACCCCGCACAGGATACTGACAAGCGAGTATGGAACAATTTTGTATTGATTAAAATACGAAGAAATAAGTTTTCGGAGAAGATCTTGCTTTACTGCCACTTCATCAAAGTTAGTTTCAATTGCAGTAACCCAGAACTGAACCCGTCTCCGAGATAAAAAAGCCGACGTCCTGTAACCTGAGTCGAGGGAAGAACAACAGGTAACTTACAGTTTTGTACACACCTTAATTTAATATTTAACTTTTCAGGCAAGAAATTAGAAGTTAAGAAATTTAGATCTGATCGACTGCAAGCATTACAAATTTCCATATTCTTCCATCTTTTTCGTTACTTTTATTTTATAGCACAAAATAAAATTAGAGGACGAGAAGTGGTCGCGTCATAGCCTTTACGTAACATGAAAAAATCATTGATACGTAATGCACATCTGAGATTGGTTGATTAGTAGCCAATTTAACAAATCTCCTGCAGTTTAAGGGTACATGAGACGAATGGGTGACAATGAAATGAGTGAATAAGGGTTT